ATAAGCAATGGGACTTACCTGGGGGTCCAGTGGCTAAGACTGCACACTCTCAATGAAGGGGGCCCAGGGTTTGATCCCTGGTCTGGGAACTAGTTCCCAGTTCAGAACTAGATCCCAAATGCCACGACTAAGACCCGGCACAGCCAAATAAATATTTTAAAAAGAAGAAGAAAAAGAAATGATAAGCAGTAGTAAGAAACTGGTAGAAGGCATCTGAGGGGCTTCCCAGGTGGCTCAGTGGTAAAGAATTCTCCTGCCAATGCGGGAGATGCAGGAGACTTGGGTTGGATCCCTAGGTCAGGAAGACCCTCTGGAGGAAGAAATGGCAATCCACTCCAGTATTCTTGCCAGGATAATTCCATGGACAGAGGAGCCTGGTGGGCTACAGTCCATGCAGTCACAAAGAGTTGGACACAACTGAGCGACCGAGCATACATACACGCACACATGGTGTATGTGATGGGTGGAGGAGCTGGGACAAGATAAGGTGCCTGAAGGTGCTGAAAGGGATGCCTCTGATGATTACTCCCACCAGGTAGAGGGATCCATGAGAAATGTGGGACCTGGCCCAACTGATGGGGCCACCCTGCAAATCAAAGCAGGGAAAGCCCGAGGGTCCAAGGGCAGGAGCTCATGGGGGCCTGGAAATCAAATCTCAGGGCAAGAAGGGTCTCCAGAAAACACCCAAGAAGGGAAAACTTAAAACCAGCCCAGGTCTCCTCCGTGGCAGCCTGGCTTCTGATGGTTTACAAGGCAGGACACACTGCAGAGTCAAATTTCATTTGAAGAAAGTTCACTGTGGTTTGAGGTTGTTGAAAAACCACTGACCTGATTCTACACTCTCACTCTGCAGGTGGGAAAGACTGAGGCTGGGAGGAAGGAATGCCCCACTCTGGGGGCAGCCAGGGGTGAGTTCCGAGCTGCAGCCCCTGGCTTGGGTCAAGCTTGGTTACTGAGCAACCACTATTAGGCACAGCACCCACTGTGGGCCAGGGCCCCGCCGGGACCTGGTGCAGTGCTATTTGGTATTTTGGACCCTCAGGCAGGTGAACAGAGACTAGCTGGGCCGGTTGAAGGTCTGCTGGACCTTGCTGGCAAAGGGCGGCTCCCTCCCTGGGCACAGGCCACAAGGTTCCTCCCTGTTGACAGGAGGAGGGGTCTCCGGGCAGGGTGGGGTCCCCACTGGCTTTGCGTCACTCATCTGGGGGAGAAGCAGGTTTCTCAGAGGGAGTGTCCTAGGGGACTCAGGAGGACTCATCTCTCTCTAACCCAGTATTTATTTACTGATCTCTTATTGTGTACTAGGCACTGCACCCAATGCTTCTCAGGGCAAACCCAATAAATTGTTTCATAAGCCACAGAGCAAGCACTATTATCAACAGTGAACCCAGTTTAAAAAGGAGGCAGAGAGTGGTTAAGTCACTCAGTTGGGGGGGGGGGGGGCGAGGGGTGAGGTTGGGATTGAGCTTGTAGGCTGACTTGAGAGCCCCTACTTAGCCCCTACTTAGAACAAGCAAAGAAACAAAATCCTACTTTTTTAATTAAAACAAAAATTGCAGGAACAATATCTAATTTCTATATGCTCTTCACCCAGATTCCTCAGTTGTTAATATTTTATCACATTTTATCTATAATCCACCCTCCCACTCCATATGACAGTAAATTGCAGACAGATGCCTCTTACCTCTGAACACGTCAGTGTTTTGTTTTTTAATATTTTGTTTATGTATTTGTTTGGCTACGCCAGGTTTTAGTTGAAGCATATAGGATTTTTTTTAAGTTGTGGCATGTGAACTCTTAGTTGCAGCATGTACGTAGGCTTTAGTTCCCTGACCAGGGATCAAATATGGGCCCCAGCATTGAGTGTGGAATCTTAGCCACTGGACCACCAGGGAAGTCCCTATCTTTCTTTTTACTTGAAGGTGGAGCTTTCTCTTCTCTTTATTTATTTATTCGTATTATATGGACTCATGGATTCTTCTCTTGTTCAGCAGGTCATAACCCATGTTTACTGTTATTTCTTCTGATGCTCAAATTGTCCCAAATTTGGCCGTTAGGAACCGCTTCAAGCCAGAGAGTTCCCACTTTTAAATATGACATTGCACCATGTCCCTTGACCTTGACCAGAAAGGGAGCCACATCTGCAGGGAGCAGTCCCTGCTGGGTGGCTCCTGAAGCTCTGACCCCCTAATGCAGGCAGGCAGGAGATGGGAGAATTTAGGCTTCATGCTGTCTAGGAGTGTTGTGCAGATCCACTGGGGGTTCATTCATTAGTCGAACACCTAATAGCCTCAGCTTTTGAAAACTCACTGAAAATGGAGGGTAGAGAAAAAGGACAATCACAATTGTGCTGTTTCTAAAACTGAGAACTTTGGTACTCCAAGAGGTAGCGTTGAGTGGCTCTCTTAGCTATGTAGATATAAGGCAAGGGACAATATTTGAGGGGAATACTTTGCCAGACATAGCTGCTGCAACATTTGGTCACTTGGGAAGCTAGTGGGCCAACCTGCATATGAAACCAGGCCTCTGGGAGGTGAGGGATAGCTGTCACAATCCCCGGTGGACCATCGCTCATAGGTGAGGAAGCAAAGCAAGAGCTCTGAGATCAAGGGAAGGGGAGCCTTGCTGGTGAGCACAGAAAGACCTCCTAGTTGGAAGGTCCTGGTTCTTCTCAGTAAAATAATGTGGGCGCTGTGATGTCCATTTCATAGAACAGATGGCTCCTGGAGCAACAGCAGGCACTTCAGGCAATGGAAACACCATGAGCAAAAGAAAAGAAGGAACTGGGGCACTCCCCCATTTTGCCCCCAAAGCCACCTCTTTTGGGGTGGCTGAATACATCCCTGAATGTATTCATCCCTGAATACAGGCCCTGAATACATCCCCCACATTTATACTGGGTCTCACCCAGTTGGGCTGAATCCCAAATGTCTAGACCAGGAATTAGGTCTGGGTTATAACTCCAGTTCTTGTACTTCCTGGCTGGGTGACTTTGGAAAGTCACTTGACCTCTCTGAGCCTTCACTCATTTATTTCCTCGACAAATATTTGCTGAGGGCTTGCTTATATGCCGAGCACTGCTCTAGGCAAAAGATCTGCAGTAGTCAGGAAGATACACAAGTGTCTACCTTCATGAAACTTACATTCAGGTTATAATAAACAAATATGTAAGCAAAATAATACCCTATGGAGATATTTGTTGTTCAGTCACTAAGTCATGTCCAACTCTTGGTGACCCCATGAACTGCATCACGCCAGGCTTCCCTGTCCTTCACTATCACCCAGAATTTGCTCAGACTCATGTCCATTGAGTCAATGGTGCCATCCAACCATCTCATCCTCTGTCGTCCCCTTCCCCTCCTGCCCTCAAACTTCTTCAGCATCAGGGTCTTTTCTAATGAGTCAACTCTTTGCATCAAGTGGCCAAAGTACTGGAGCCTCAGCATCGGTCCTGCCAATGAATACAGGGTTGATTTCCTTTAGGACTGACTGGTTTGATCTCCTTGCTCTCCAAGGGGCTCTCAAGAGTCTTTTCCAACACCACAGTTCAAAAGCATCAATTCTTTGGCACTCAGCCTTCTTTATAGTCTGACTCTCACATCCATACATGACTACTGGAAAAACCATAGCTTTGACTAGATGGACATTTGTCAGCATATATTAAGCTAATATTAATATGGAGATATTAAGCTAATATCAAAACCAAATTTCAGAGATGGTGGCTCCTTTACCCAGGGCTGTCAGGAAAGACCTCTCTAAGGTCGTGACATTTGAGCTGACCTGAAAGATGAGAAAGAGCCAGGCAGTGAACAGAAGATGAAACAGCAAGTGCAAAGGACTTGTGGCAAGAATGAGCTTGGTGTGTTAGATGAGCAGTAAAAAGGGCAGTGTGACTGAAGAGTAGCGGGGAAAGGGGAAAGTGACAGAGGTGAAGCTGGGCAGAGACCAGATGGCTTAGGGCCCTGTAGACCAAAGGGAGGAGTATAGTTTATATTCTAAATGTGAAGGAAAATCTTTGAGAGTGTTAAGCCAACAGGTGGGAGCGTGTTAAACAAGCTGATCTTTGTTACAAGGAGAGTATTGTCCGGTGTGTGAAGAAAGCCTTTAGGGATAAAGTGAGGAAGTTATCAGGAGGCTGTGGCCGTGGTCCAGCTGAGTTGAGGGTCCCTGGACCAGGTGGCAGAACTGGGGGTGGCCAGAAGTGGTCAGATGCAGGGTGGTGTTCGAGGTGGAGCCAGTGACTCAGGAAGTGAGGAGAAGGGAGAGGTACGGAGCAAGGCTCCGAAGTCTGGGGTTTGAACAGCTGAGATGGAGAGACTGGGTGTGTATGTTGCTGAGCTAGGGTTGATGCACAGGAGTGGGATCTTGGCTGTGCAGGGCATGGAGGCCCCATCTCCTACCCACGTGGAGGCGCTGAATGGGCAGTTGGATACAGTCTGGAACTCAAAGAGAAGCCGTTCCCTCTGGAAATACAAAATATGGAGCTCCTGAGCCTACAGATGGCATTTAAAACCACGAGACTAGATGAGATCATCGAGGCAGAGGGTGTAGGTCGAAAGGAGAAGAGACCCACGACTGTGGACTGTAAAATGAGACAAATGACACCTTCACCCGCGCGGCTCCGGGGAGATGTCGCGTTAACTGCCGCAGTCAGCGCTCTAACCGGGATTGAGAATCCCGGGGGGCGGGGCCTGGGCCTGGGCGGGGCCTATCTGGGGCGGAGATGGCCAGGGGCGGGGCTGGGGAGCCGGGAGGCCGCTCTGGGGCCGGGGGGCGGCCGGGGCGGTGACGTCACCGTATGACTGGGTTTTTATGAATGAAAGGAATCCTGTGAGTGAGTAATTCCGGGAAGCTCGCCTTACAACTCGGCGCGGCCCCCAGCGCTGCCCGCCCCACAACAAAACTCGGCGCGTCGCTCCGGCGATCCGGGCTGGGAGCGACCCGCGGTCGGGACCGGAGGGGGAGGCTGACCGAGGCGCGGGCCGAGGAGAACAGCTCAGACGGCAGCGGGACCCCGCGCGTGCCAGGGACGCCAGGCGAAGCAAGACGAGGGGCGGGTAAGGATCGCGGGACCAGCGCGCAAGGCCAGCGGGCGGCAGGGTCTCCGCGGTCCTGGAACGTGCCTGGGGCGGGGCGCCGGGCCCCACTCAGTCGGTGCTACCGTGGATCCCTCGCCCGGACTGCAGGCTTGGGAGGGTGTCGGGGTGAGGGTGGGGGTGGGGCGGAGGTCCTGTGGGACCGAGACGCGGCCGAAACGAACTTGGCGGGGTGCGGGGTTAATGGGCCCCTTTTGGGGGCGCGGGCCGAGAGGCGGTGAAGTCGGGCAGGAAGGGGCAGCGCGGGCTGGCGAGCGTCAGCGTCCGCCCAGGCGGGGCCGGGGGCGGTGTGTGCAAGTACGTGACTCGGTGAGAACAGTCCCTGGACCGGTGCCCGCAGGCCGTGCGTGCGCGGTTTGTTTACGTCCGAGGGCGGGCGTGCGTGTGTGTTCCCTGGCCAGCGTCGTGGGTATCCTGCCCGCTGCGTGCTTGCGCCGTGTACCTTGGGGAGTGTGTGTGTGTGTGTGTTGGGAACACGGTAAAGGTTGGAGGTAGGAAGGGATACCAGGCTTCCTCTCTCTGGTGCCTACTCCTCTGTCTGGTCTGGGTTCTAGAGGTTGTACCTGCTGGATCAGGAAGGGTGAGAACCCAAGGTTGGGGTGGAGCTGGTTTCTGCCCTTCTGGTGGTTTCAGTTCACAAGTGGGACTAATCACACAGAGCTATCGATGACTGGACCTGAGGAGCTAGTTGAGGACCTGGGCCAGGCTTGGTTAACAGGCAGCGGGACTACTTGTCCTGGGGCGGGAGGGGTTACTGTGAGACGGCTGGGCCCTCCCACCACCACCTCACCCTGCCCCTGCTCCATCAGCGCCCTGCTGAGGGATGTTGAGGGCTGGGCTGGGGCCTGGGGCTTCCTTGGTCCTATTCTGCCCTCTCTTCCTCCTGCCCACAGGACTACAGGATCATGGGGTGTGTGGGGGAGGGCATTGAGCTGGACCAGATAATCTTTTAACTTTGAATCTCTGAGCTGCCACCACAGCTGGTAACTTCTGTGTCCCCATCTGTAGCAGCAACTAGGCAACATCCAAGGTGGTAGGATGGCAGTGGGCTGGGGGAGGTGTGACAGCCTCCACATACAGCCTAATTTCCAGGGGAACCATACAAGAGAAAACAGAGCCAACAGCCCCAGGCGGAGGCCAGGGATGTCCAGGAATATGTGGAATATGTAAGGGAGGTAGCCGCCAGGAGCACAGGAATCAGGCAGGCTGATCTTCAAAACTGGGCAGGAAACATCCCTGAGCAGGGTTAGGGAGCAGAGAACAAGAGGAAGTGGCCGATTGACTCCGTCATAGATGGAAAGGTTTAACCTCCCACTGAATCACCCCTGGACCTTCAGTAGGGCCCAGGACCCAGTGAGGGCTCCCTTGGCCCCTGTGCCTCCCTCAGTCCTAATACTTTTAGCCTGCGTTGCCATGGAGCCCACCAAGGACTAGATGCTGGGGATAAGATGGTGAACAAATCAGATCCAGCTTACAGTCAAGGAAGGAAGACAAAGTCGAGGAAAGAGCCACTAAACTAAATGCAAAACCACAGCTGAGATGGGTGGTATGAGGAGGAAGGCACTGTGATTACAAAGTACATAACACAGTTCTGACTTAGCCAGGGCAATCAAGGAAGGCTTCCCTGAGGAGGTGACAGTCAGGCAGAATGTCAGATCAAGTGATAATCATCTGTGAAGACCTTAAGGGCAGGGGCTTTGATTCAGCTTTGGGCCTTCAGGGTGCAGCACCAAGCCTGGGACCTACACGGTAGGTGCTTCTCGGGTGTTTGCTGATTGAATGAATGAATGAGCCCTGGGTCAGTGTCCTGGTAAAACTCCACAACACCTAGAGAAAAAGGCCTGGGAACCCCAGGTGAGCAAGAACTCCTGGGCACAGGCTATAGGATTCTTGAAGCAGTTTCTGCAAAGCAAGCAGATCCTGCAGGGCTCAAGTGACAGCTCCTGTTACACACATGCACCCCGTGTGTCCCTTTTGGGAATGTGTGGGGATGGTAAGAGTTTGTTGTCTGCTCATTCGTTTGTTGTCAGCATGGGGATCCTGGAAGAGTGTGGGGAGAGAACGTGGTGGTGGCCAGAAGGGCCTACCACATGGACTAGAGGGGAGGCTGCATCATAGGGTTTTGAAATGGGCCGAACATGGTCAGGTTTGTAGGTTTGTGTCAGTAATGATCCCTCTGACAGGGAGGAGAGCTGGTGGGGTCAGAGGTGGAGGCAGGCAAGACTGGATGCCAGAGAGCAGGTGGTTTTGGTCACAGTGCAGCTGAAAGAGGAAATGCTTAAGGGCTAGGCATGGAGCAGAGGGAGAGTCAAGGCTGATAGTCTCTGAGTTTGTGTTCTCAGGTCCCTGCCCCCAGGAAGTCTTCCCTGATTTTCCTTCCCTTGCTCCAGGGCCTCTACTCTGCTGGTGGTCTTGGAGTTCCATTCCAGGCCAGAATCTAACTCTCTAAACTTTGACATTGTCAGTGCTAGGAGGTACTGTAGGCTTGGTGGTTTGGCGTGTTGGGCCCAGAGAGAGGGAGTGGTGTACCTGAAGTCACACAGCAAGTGTTAGTGGGTGGTAGACCCCCAGGCTGCTACTTCCCTGTGGTGCTGGGTTCTCCCAGCTCTGCTCCCCTTCCAGCAGGGAGGAGGCTCCACCAGTGCTGGCTGCCAAGGCCCAGGAAAACACATTTTTTCCCTCTGTCCTCACAGAGGAAGCAAAAATGGCTCAGCAGCCAGAGGAGCCCATGCCAGCGGGTGGGCCGTTTCCAGGATGCCTCTGAGTGGACTAGGGGGCCAGGGGCCGTGGCTGCTGACTGGGCAATGCGGCTGTCAATCCCCCAAGCCATGCCTCCAGGGAATGTTAGGAACCTGCAGACCCTGGAGGTCAGGACTGCTGGCTGGCCTCAGGAAGGGAAGAAGCAGGGTTTGGATGTGGGGAGTATTCAGTTCAGTTGCTCAGTCGTGTCCTACTCTTATCCTTCAGAGAGGGGAGTATAATGGCTGGCTTTGAAGAAAGAGCCCTGAGCTGGGGACTCCAGGGTTCCAGTCCACCACTGCCACCAAACAGTTACTGAACAAGGAGGTTGGATCAGTTGCTGTCTCAGGCCCAAGGTCTACCACACTGGCCGAGGCTGCCTGGAGGAGGACCCGGGCCCCTTGTTTGACAGCCCAGCAGCTCCCGGTCTGAGTTGGAGAGCTGAAAGTCTGAGGTTATCAGCCAATGTGACCTTCTTGTGACTTTCCCTCCGTGACTGCCTGACTCTGCTGAGCTAGGATGTTCCTGGGCAGACATGGGTACCTCAGCTGACATGTAGCATGTGTTTGAGGGGCTGAGGCTAGGACAGGAGGAGAAAGAGGAAAGGAGGCAAGAACAGGTTTAAAGCCTCCCTGGGGTCCCAAAGTACCTAGAATCGCAGCCAGCAGAGAGGATGGGACCTTCAGTCATTATCTAGTATAGGGCATGGCCAACAGTTATCTCTTGGGCCTACTCTGGAGGGCTGTGTTGAGGAGGAGTCTAAGGTTATGTCCAAGCTCAGTGGAAAACAGCGCTGTGTTGAGAAAGATTCAGGAGCTGTGTCCAACCTCAGTGAGAAAAAGTGCAGTAATTGATTATTGATGTCCGTGTTAGGAGTAGAGGGAGGAATGTGGGGGAGATAAACCAACCATTTGCCACTTCTGATCTTTCTAACCCTCTTGTTTTTACACACGAACACCATGATGATTGTCCCCACTGTGTAAGTAAGGAAACCAAGGTCCAGGGAGGAAAAATGCCTTGTCCTAGGGGCCATACCTCCAGAGTTCTGCATCGGTCACCCACCACATATTGCTCAGCACCCAGCAGGCTCTTAGATCACCTCTCCCATCAGGCTCTCTGAGTAGCCCAGACTGCCTGAGCGTCACGTAATACCCCAGCCCCCTAAACAGCCAGCCAGGAGGCCTGGATATCTGTATGACACTTGCAGACCCAGCACAGATCCTGGCACATCAGAGCTGGGTAGCCTTGGAGCCGGGTGAGTCCTTCTCTTTACAGGGGTGGGGAAACAGGGCCCAGAGAGGGTGCCCTGTGAGGACCTCACTGCGAGGAGACATGTGGCTCCATGTTGCCTCAGTCCCAGGCTTTATCCACTATTGGCTGTGTGACCCTGGACTACTCTATTGACCTCTCTGGCCATTACCTCACAGGGTTGTTGGGAGAACTGGGGTACTGATGGTGTGAAGGCAATCAGGATTCAGTCCTGGGACCTTTACACGTGTTCAGAATTCCTCCTGATTTAGAGAAGGCAGCCATTCACCTGCTGTGTGACTTCAGGCAAGAGGGGCCTCTCTCTGGTCTCTACCTCCCCTTGGGTGAAGTGAGGAGGCAGGGGCCAGACAGTCTCTAAGAGCCTTTCCTGTGTGACCTTGGCCAGCCAGGAGACGCCCAGTCAAAGCGAGGTCCCAGGAACTGCTACAGGCCCAACCCCTCCTGGACAGACTCAGCAATTCTAATGGTGCTCACTGACCTCTCCAGTTTGCATTATTTGGTTCCATCAAAACCCTGTGAGACAGGTATTGTTCCCAACCTACAGACAGGAAAGTGGAGACCTAGAGGGGAGGAGTGACTTGCCCACAGTCACACAGCCTGGAGAAAACAGAGATGGGACTCAAACCAGGCTTGACCCTTCATCCACTGTTCCTTGCCTTGTTTCCTATACCCTCCCTGGGAGCCAGTTATGAAGACAGAATCCCTTCTTCTCCCTCCCATCCTCTTGGTATCTGTATGCCATCCCTGCCATGCAGAAGCAGATAGAAAGGAGGAAGAATTGAAGGCAGGGCCAGGAGGTTTTTCTCTCGATGGTCTTCAGCAGGGTTTGGGCTTGGCACAAGGTTCAGACCTTGACAAGCTGGGTGACAGACAGTGTCATAGACCCACCAATCCATACCTCACCAGTGCCTGCTCCCTGCCAGCCCCTGTGCTGGCAGCCTCACACCCAGAGCTGTCTGCTCCTGGTTCTTGGCTGTGGAGGCCCCTGTCTGGTGGGGAGTCAAGGAAACAGACCCTTACAACAGAGGGCAGAACTGCTCGGGTGGGCGGTGCTGAATAAGTCCTAGGAGTCTGGGAGGCCTTCCTGGAGGAGGAGATGTCCATGCTCAGGGCAGAAGGCTGAATAGTAGGAGTCTGCCAAATAAAGTGGGAGTGGGAGGAGAAGTGTCACAAGGTTTGGCGTGACCCAAAGGCAAGAAAGCATGGGGTGAGAGGAAGTGAAAGAAATTCCTTGTGACTGGAGGGCAGAAGAGAGGAGGGCAGTAGTGTGAAAGGAGCCTGGAGGTTAGTAAATGGGGTTATGTGATATGGGACAAGGGGTGTTTTAGCCTCTCTGAAGAGGTAACACTGAGCAAAGATCTAAATGATGAAGAGACTTTGAGAAGATAAAAAGGAAAAGAACAGTAAACCCAAGAAAAACCCAAGAGCCAGAAAAAGCCAAGAAAGTGCAAAGGCCCTGAGGCTGGAATGAACCATTCAATGAGGCCACTGTAGCTGGACCACTGGGGCCAAGGGAAGTGGTATGAGATGAATTCTAAGATAGCAGGGGCCTTGAATGTGAAGATAGTAGTGTTTGGATTTCATTCTAAGTGGAAGAAAAACTGACTTTGGTCTCCTCTCTCCCCTAGGTCTTAGCCCAGAGGGTACCTTCTGCAAACATGTCTGTGGATCCCTTATCCAGCAAAGCGCTGAAGGTGAGAAGGCAGCCCTTATTGTCTCCAGGCCTCCCCTCCCTCCCTGCCCAGGCTGAGCTCCCATCCCAACTTCCCCTTCAGTCCCTAGAATCCCCAAGAGGGCCTCAGCAGACATCAGGCATTCATGAAGCCAATCATGGGGCCTTTTCAGGCCCGGCCTGGCTGGGAACCAGCAAGCCTGGGCTCTGGCCATAGGCTGTGTGCCCCAGGGCAGGTCACTTCCCTCTCTGGACCTACTTCCCCATGAGGACAACGTCCACGGAGCAGTGGGACTTTAAAAGTGCTTTCTTGGGTTTTTCTGGCTGAGTCCAGGCCGAGTCGCTGGGTTAGAATCCGGACTCAGCTCTAAGGTGGCTCCTTTTGTATCCAGATCCCTGTCTCACCCGGTTTCCGCTTTGGGGATTCCTGCTCCCCTTCGGAGTTTTGGAGCAAGTCCACCACCTGCTCAGTTTCCCTGGCAGGGAAGGGGGAACACTAGCGGTGGAGGGGAAGCCGACCCCAGCACCCTCTGCGCGCCGGGTCCAGAGCTCAGGGCCCGCAGTGTAGAGTGTCACCCTGAGCCTCAGTTTCCCCACGCGCCCACGCCCGCAGATCAAGCGTGAGCTGAGCGAGAACACGCCGCACCTGTCAGACGAGGCGCTGATGGGGCTGTCTGTGCGCGAGCTGAACCGGCACCTGCGAGGGCTCTCGGCCGAGGAGGTGACGCGGCTCAAGCAGCGGCGCCGCACACTCAAGAACCGCGGCTACGCGGCCAGCTGCCGCGTGAAGCGCGTGTGCCAGAAGGAGGAGCTGCAGAAGCAGAAGTCGGAGCTGGAGCGCGAGGTGGACAAGCTGGCGCGCGAGAACGCCGCCATGCGCTTGGAGCTCGACGCGCTGCGCGGCAAGTGCGAAGCGCTGCAGGGCTTCGCGCGCTCTGTGGCCGCCGCTCGTGGGCCGGCGGCGCTGGTGGCGCCGGCCAGCGTCATCACCATCGTCTGCTCCTAGTGCTCGCCGAGTCCCGCCCGTTCCACCCCCGCCCATTTCCCAAACCACGCCCCTCCGGCCCCAGCTGCCTTCCTTAAGTGCCTAAACGCCGTCTCTGTCTCCAAGTGCCATTTCTCTGCAGCCACCAGCTCCCCCCGTGGTGAACACATGTTCCCTCCCCAGATCCTGTCTTCCTCGTGCGGTCTCTGAAACTGGGACCTAATGGCCCCGGGGAGGGGCAACTTTGGTGAGATAGGAGGTCTGGTAAGGTCGAGGTCTGGCGTTTCCTTTCCTAAAAACTTCAGCCTTCTCAGTTTGGGAGGATGGGATACAAAGCTGATTAGAGAAGGGCCATCGAGGGGAAGATGGCCACCCCTCATTTTGTAACTGCTCAGATCGTGCCATAGGTCTGTCCCCACCCTCCAGGATACAGGACCAGACTTTACCCCCGCATGCCTCTGGTAGGATTGACCAGTTGGGAAGTTGATGTTCCCGTCTCTGCTCTGGGCCTGGATGCCTGGCCCTCCAGAGCTGGAAGACTCATCAGAAATCACCTAGTGAAGTCCAATTCACAGATGGGTAAAACAGGCCTCCAGCAGACCTGACAATGCCCGAGGCCACATATACTTAGCGGTTAAGCTGGAACCATGTCTTTCCACTTCTGCCCTGAGATTTCCAGCCATGATTGTTGGGGGCAGTGGTTGGGGCCTGAAAAGGTGATGCAAGGGCCTCCGTGGTCTGAGAGGTGGCTCTCTGTGAGTCAGGTGAAGAGAAGGAAAGAGAAGGTGATACAGATGGAAGAGAGGGAAGGAGCTGGCCTGACTCTGTCCTGGGCTCTCCCTGAACCCAGGGAGCTGGCCAAAGAGAAAGGGGACAAAGGAAGTGACCACAGAGGCAGGTGGGGAGATGAGAAGACAGATCCTACGGTTCTGAAACCTGGGATAGGGGTCCTTAAAAAGGGAAGGGACCTACCTGTCCATCCTGTTGGGTGGGGGCAGGTCACTGCCATTGACTGCTATTCTCCTGAGAAGTCTGGCCCCAGCCCCTCCCCCTCCCCTATTAGACAGCTGCCCCTTCCCCGCTGTTTATTTATTGCACGAATCTAAGTTATTCTCCCCAGCCAGAGGCCTAGCGCCCACTGCCTGGGAAAAGTGGTGTGCAGCCCTGAGCTGGACTTTATATTTTATATCTGCAAATAAAACACATTTTATCTTTTATTTAGGGAAAGCCGGATGGCAAAACAACCAAAAAATGTGTTTTAAAAGAAAAGTGCCGGCCCCCAGAATTTATTTATTTTTCTGACTTACAGTAAGCGAGTTATCCGCCTTCTGTATTTTGTAGACTTCCTGAATAAAGTCGAGTTCTCTTTTTCCACAGTTTAGAAGTATGTGTCCTGGTTTATGATTTTTTTTTTTGCAGGGGTGGGTTCTGAATGAGGGGCCCAAGATGGATTCTGCTTTCAGTCCCAGACAGAACCCTCTGATGGGTGGGGGGTTTCCTCCAATTTGCGGATGAAGAAACTGTGACCCATCACTAACTCTAGCACCTGGGCTTGCGCTGGGGTAGGGTGTGGTGGTGGGGGCGAAGGGGGAGGTAGGGTGTAGGTGGGAACCAGACAGGGTCCTGTCCTTCCATCTGGGTGCCTGGAGCCAAGGAGCCTCCCTGGGGAAGGCAAAGCTAGGCGAACAATGAAATGTAGGGTTAAATTCCCTGGGCATCCCGTCAGCAAATAAACAGTCCCACCCAGAGAGGAAAATTCCCCGATTTAAGAGGAATTGTTCCAGTACTTTCACATTGAGGTCTGACTTTCTACAGCCAAGTAAAAAATATTTTCCTCGTGTTCCAGAAAGGCACAGGGAGGCAGAGAGAAGTGACTTCCTCAATCCCAGCCTGCAGGCCTAGAACGCAACCCTGGGTCTCATCCTAGGCCCCAAATTCCCTGCTGTTGTTCAGTCACTGAGTAGTGTCTGACTATTTGTGATCCCATGGACTTCAGCATGCCAGACTTCCCTGTTAATTTAATCCGATCTGCCAGTGCTTCCAGGGAACCCTGGGAAAGAGTGTTCTGTGGTCCAGGGGTCAGGGAAATTGGGGTGTGTCTTTCTCTAGCTGTATGACCTTTGATGACTTATGTCATTGCTTGCAGCCTCAGTTTACCCATCTGTACAACTCAAGAAGTGTAAGGTCGTACATGTGGCAAACACTGGGGATGCCAGGGGCTGCAAGCTTCCACAGGCAGACTGAATGCTTACCCCAGTGCACCTGATGTCCGGGAGGAGGAGTTCCATGTGGCTGGGTATGGAGGGATGGCTGGGCTAGAAGGATGCTTCTGGGGAGGACCTGAAAGCTGGGAAACGGCCAGACCACACTGGCTGAGTGGGTCCACAGGCCCGTCTCCTCTCTCAGGCTGGGGTCCAGGATCCTGATTCCAAGACACTGAGCCCAGGCCTGTGAAAAGGACAGCAGGAAGCCGTGTGGGGGACCCAGTGGAGGGTGGCCGGGCTGGGAATTTCCCCCGCCCACGCCACATTCCTGAGCGCCCCTGTCAGCTAGGCCAGGCCACAGAAGGCATGCAGTGATGGCAGGAAGGTGCCAGGTGTCGCGCATGCCCACTGCTGGGCAGGCCCTGCTCCAGGCCTCCTACCCCGGGTCCCAGGGTGGAGGGTGGGCTCCTGGAGGCATGGAGATAGACTAGGAGGCATGAGGATTGCAGGAAATTCTTTAAACCCCAGGAAGACAGCTGCAGGAATGGGGCTGCTGGAGGGTGTACCCCATTTAGTTGGTTGACTGAAGCCAGCACAAGGCATCAACCCGCTGCTGGGTGTCGAGGTGGGTGGACCCCTAGTGACCAATGTCCCACTGGCCAGAAGAGGGGGAGACACTCTGTCCAATGGGAACCTGGGCCCTAATTTCAATCTGGCAATGTGAACCCCCCATCACTTATACCTACAACCTGGACAGAAGAGGGTTTCCTAGGACACCTTTGAACCCACAACCACTAACCCCACCCCCAAACACACACACAGGAGCTGGGGAAAAAAATCTCACCCATTGGCAGAAGAGATTTCAATACAATCTATATTATCTCATATATATATTTCTTTCTCACTGTATTTGCTCACTTCTGTCACGCATTTAAAATGTCACAGAGACCAAAATAGAGCGGCTTTCTGGTGGAACTCATGGCAGTCATACACGAGATACAAAACTAGGGGACTCTGTCTTCTCATACATCATACAATTAATTTTTCAAGTATTTTTTATGTACAAAGAGCTACTCTATTGGGGAAAAAAAATTAAAAAAAATAAAAAGACAAGGTAGGTTACACATCCTAGGAAGGAGGGGTGGAGTGGTTGGGCACGCGTTCCCAGCCCCCATCTCCCCAAGGACTGCTAGCTCCCTGCCACAAAGCACCTCCCATCCACCTTGCAAGTGGCCAGGGCCAGAACAGGCAAAGACGGGGGTGGAGGACAGGGGGTCAGCAGCACACTTTGGCCTGGAAGGAGAATCAAATTCATGAAAGCAAATGACAGGGGCAGCCCAGAGGTTCTCCGTGGACAGCCCACACCTTCCTGCACAGCGCGGTACCAGCTGGCCAGGCCCATCCAATGGGGCCCACGAGCCAGCCTCTGTGCCCCTCAACCCCAGTGCTGGCTTGGTTGCCACAAGAGGCAGGGGAAGACTCCTGGGATAGAACCCCCTGCCCGACCTTGGCGTGGTTCAGTCCAGGAGTGGCCAAAAAGTTAAGAGATGCCAAGGTCCCTCAGGGTCGGGCCCCCTTCCCCTCCTCCAGGCTGGTGCAGCCCACACCCGCGTGCTCTCTGGGTTTCATGTGATGGGAACGCTCTGCCTGAATGAACATGCAATTGTGTCCCATTATCACGAGGCTCCTCCAAAGACAGTGGCCAGTGGAAGCCTGGCCTGCCTGGGGGCTCCGGCCCTGGGAGGCTCCATGCATGTGGGCGTGGAGGTGGGTGAAGGGAGGGGACTGGTGGTCCTGGCCACCCCTGAGGCCTGTCCAAGGGTACTTGGCCCTGCACTACAGGATCCACGGAGTGCCAGCAGCTTAACAGGGAGCCCCCCAGGGAGTATCTGGGTCAGACTGATAGCCGGGGGCAGGGGCGGTGGGGGGCTTTCATATGTGACTAAGGCACAGAAGAGATGGGCCGTGGGGCCAGATGAGGCAGGACACCAGGCCCTGTGTGGATATGGGGCCACAGAGAGGAGTCCCCCAACTCTGGGCTCCCCGCCACACGCCCCATCCCTCCCGCCTGCGCTCCTCCTCCAGAAGCTGGTCTGCAATGCAGAGGCCAGGCCCTCCCCGTGAAACAGGAGGGAGGAGCCCCAGGGAGAGACGAGGATCCAGCAGAGGAAGGAGGGCTGGGAGCCCCTGACCCTTTGAGTAGCTGGGATGCAAGGGCTCTGCTCAAGATGCTCTCAAGAAGGACCCCTCGTGGGAGGGCAGTGTGCACTGCTGGCTCCTCAGCAGGCCCACGGAAAGGGGTGTGAGGCAGGCAGAAGGGGCAGCCTCGGAGGACGCCCAGGCGCCCTCCGAGGTGGGACCCATGGCTCTTGGTGTCTGGCTCTGATCCCTGCAGCATGCCAGGCAGGCCTGGGTCGGGAGGAGGATCCGCAGAGAGCATCCATGCCCCCTCCTCCCACCCAGGTGAGGCTAATCTAGCATGGGACCAGGGGAGCAGGGTTGGGAGCAGGTGGGAGCCCCAGGGGGAGAGTATTGCACGGTGTTTGGGGGAGGGGTTTACGTCTGGTTTGGGGGGGGAAGAGGTGAGGGGCTGAGAAGACGGCAGCCGCTGGTCCACAACACAAGCGTCGGGGCCTGGGCACGGCTGGTCCTCACAGGACGAGCCGCAGGGGCACGGGGAGTTGCTCCCACCATCCTCTCCCCGTGGTCCAGGCAGCAGAGCCATGGCCTTGTATAAATATTCCTGAAGGCTCCTGGGTGAGCCTGGGCCGTTCCCTGGGCAGACGGCGGCGTCGGGCTGTTCCTCTTGAAGCGATATGTGAGTGTTTCTGGTCCAATAAATTAAAGGGCGATGCCAAGGCTGTGCCAGCCGGCCACCCTGCCTGGAGGTGAGGCCGGAGGCGGGGCACACCCTGCCCTGGGCCAAGGGGCCGGTCCGTCCCCCTGCCAGCAGCAGCCGCCCCTAGAACTCATCGTCGGAGCTGAGCAGGAGCGTCTTTTCGTTGTCGCGGCCGCTGCTGAGGCTGTGGGAGCGGGAGAGGCCGTGGGCGGCCCCACGCCAGGTCGGCCCGGGCTCCAGGGTGGACTGCTGCGTGTACTGCTGGTAGGCAGGCGAGAAGTTGTGGATGGCGTCCTGCACGATGTCGTGGGGGTTCATGGTCTCCTTGAGGCTGCTGGAGATGCTCTTCATGGGGGCACAGCGGCCTGCGGGGAGGAGGCGGGAGGCGGGGTGAGGGGTCCGGGCAGCAGGGTGCAAGGCAGCTGGGCCTCCGCCCCTGGTCCCAAGTGTGTGTCATCTAACCAACCCCTCTTGGGACGGAGAACAGGGTCCCCGACACGAGAAGGGACAAGCAAAGGGACGGCTCCTCTGGCTGCGGTGCACCCCAAAGGGAGACAGTCAAGAGCCATGAGGGGCAGGGGGGGTCTGGGAGTGGGGAAGGGAGCTTGGGTGGAGACTGGGGTGCTTCAGGCCTGAGTCCAAGGACCCCAGGGAGTGGGGGGAGAGGGCCCAGGCCTGTGGGATGCTCTCCTTCACTCTGGAGAGCAGACAAGGGGCCCGCTCCATCCTAACAGGCTGACAGGGGCCTGGACCCACAGCAGAGCAGACATCTTCGCTCTGACAGGGCGGGGCCCCTGTCTTGAGGTGCTCGATCGCTCAGTCGTGTCTGACTCTTTGCGACCCCATGGACTGTAGCCGGCCAAGCTCCTCTGTCCATGCGATTTCCCAGGCAAGATTACTGGAGTGGGTGGCCATTTCCTTCTCCAGGGGATCTTCCTGACCCAGGGATCGAATCTGCATCTCTTATGTCTCCTGCATTGGCAGGCAGGTTCTATATTCCTTCCTAATTCCCTAACACTGTCCTCAAGGGCTCAGGGAGGGAGCGGGGGCAGAGATGGCCCAGGCCCCCACACTGAGACGTAAGGGGCAAGCCCCACTCTGGCCCCAGTCCCAAATTCGCGTGCCCTTCCCCGCTTGGCGTTCTCTGCCACAGAACAGAACTAAATGCCCCAGTTTCCCATCAACAAGCGCTGTGCCCTGAGAATGCACAGGGCATGTTCCAGAACAATGAGAGATAGGATGAAGCAGGCAAGCTCTACGGAGGGCAGCCCTTGGCAGATGCTCTCTGTGCCCAGGGGTGCTTGTGCGGGAGGAGACGGGGACACAGAGGAGCCAGGGAGAGACTCATGCTGGTGACAGGGACCAGGACCGGCGTGCAGGACAGACGTACAGACTGACAGTGGAACCTACCGTAAGGGCCGTATGTTGGCACTGCCCGAGGCCAAACCCGGGGCAAAAGCAGGGCAGGGGGAGAGGGAGGGGAGCCAGAGAAACAGAAGACAAGAGACAGCTGAGTGAACACCTTATGCCCACCACCGAGGCTGGCACCTCACCGCGTACGCTGCCCACCCCACCCCAGGTGCCGCCCCCTGCCCCCAGCGGGCACTCAGATAGCCCCACTGCCCCTCCAGGCCTGGGCAGGGGGCAGTTCTGTCCATCTAGGAGACTCCTCCTTCAGGGCTCAGGCTTTCTTCTGCTGGGGGACAAAGAGTGGACACCCAGGATGCTGGTCAGAGTTCAACCTTAGCACCTAAGGAGGGACCCACCCACCCCACTTCTCTTCACGCTTGGCTAGAAATCCTGAGCCTGTGTTACACGCGTTGCCAACTTTGCAACACTTCATAGATGGGGTGTGGAGGAGGGGGCGCTTGACAGGTACAGACCACACCACAGAGCTGGCTTTGCACCCAACCAACTCTGATGGGGGCTGAGAGAGGCCAGGCGCTGTGGTTAACAGGTGGACAACCGGCCTAGGATCCACACAGTGGTGGGCAAGGGCATGTGGCAGCTTCCCCGGCTGGGCCGGGGTCCTTGCTAGAGCCGGATGCCTGGCCACGCTGTTTCTGGCTGGGGGTGGATGTGTCTTGGGGCAGTGGGCGAGAAGACAGCCTAGGTGACCGCAGACGGCCTCTGTGGGGAGGGCCACCACTGCAGAAGCAGAGCCTTAAACCATGTTAGACCTTAATGGTCTAGAAAGGGTTCTCGGCCACGGCCTCAGGCTCCAGGCACCAGAATGACCAGGTCCCAGGGACATCGCCCTCGACACTGGGAGGGTGCTGGCCACATCTCTTCCAAGTGGTGTGAAGTGTGTGGGATGCCAGCCAGCAGTGGTGAACCCTGGCCAGCACAGTCCCCCGGCACTAAGTGTAGAATCCAAACCGGAAAAAAGACGGAGAGTGCCCAGGCGGCAAGTGTGTTGGGTGAACGTGGTCAAATGCCCAGGAGTTGAGAGGCCTGGAGGCGATTCAGTCCACATACCTACAGCAGCCACAGGTTTTTAAGGCACCTTCTCAACTGGGGAAAGCACAAGACAAGTAGGGTGGGAGGGGGGGCCCCTGAGGAGCCCTGCACAGGCCAGGCCAGTGCTTCTGCACTCAGCTTAGCATGCCCAGGGAGTCTACGGCGGGCACAGGTGGTAGGCCTGGGCAAGTGGGCCCTGGGTCTTCAGCCACACATGCAAGGAGCTGGCAGCAACCAACCCCGTGGGTAGATGTGTTAGACCAGGCGGCTTCCTCCTCCCCAAGCCCTCCTACCTCCTCGAGGGGCAAGTTGGTTGAGGCATTGGCAGCCTCTTCTTCCTCGTCACCCTGAGTCTCCCCTCTCTGCCCAGCAGCAGCCAGAGGCAGCTCCCAGCCCCTGCTTCTCCTGAGAGCATGTTAGAATTGCCTGGGGAGCTGTTGGCACATTCTGCCGAGCCCAAACTGAGGCCAACTACTGCAGAATCTCTGAGGGTGGGGCCTGGACAGCATTTTAAGAGTCTCCAGGGCATCTTAATATACAACTGGGGTTGCCAACCGCTATTCTAACAAAGAGAAGATTAGCAGGTGTAAAAATAAAGCTGTTAAAAGCTATTACCATCTGAGTCTTTTTCTTGGAAGTAATCAGGTTAAAAAAGAAAGTTTTAGAGACAAGGAAATTACAGGACAAAATGTATAATGCTATTCGATACCAGGAACCGAAGGACACTGTTTATCTCAGGGTCTCTGTCCTGACCTTCCCATGGGGATAGTGTGCTTTATCATCTCAGGGTCTCCATACTCCAGACCTGCTGCAAGAGACCAGGGTAGGGGCAGGGGGGGTGTCTAGCTTCCAGGACCAGTCGCCACCCCCACCAACCCCTTGTAACTGGGGGCAGGGGTGCCTGGACCTCGGTGGCCCCTTTGCTACACCAAGGGTCCCCTCCTGACCTCCTGATCCGTCAATACCAGAAGGACCCTGGGAGGCAGGAGGGGCCGAGGCGCAAGGCCGGGAAGCACTCTTCCGGCTGGTAGGGGTTTGGGGGTCAACTCTAGGACCCTGGCTCATACCTTGTGCATCCAGCCTCTTATCGGCATAGACCTTGTAGGTGAAGGCATGCCGCAGGGCCAGAGCTGCAAAGAACATCTCCACGCAGATGATGAAGTCCTGGTAGCCAGCAGCCACGGTGCCCTCACCCACCGACACGCGGGCCGAGTGGATCTTGGGGATGGCCCCACACTTCTCCAGGATGGCCAGGAGCATGCCTTGAAGGAGAGGTGTGGACGGAGTGCCATGGGTGTTGAGCCCAAGACAGGATCCCCTTCTCCTTTTCCTTCCACATAGCGCCCCAGTGTCACACTCCCCCGGGAGGATGAAAGCAGGGTGCATGGATGCTCCTATTGGGTGGGGGTGCTGACACAAGCTGGAGCCTTGAGGAAACTACCCCCAAGGTCTTGGCTGAACACCCACCCTGAGATCCCCCTGTCCAGGAAGCAATCCTGCCAAAGTTGGCTCCAGTGAGAGGCCCTTGGGGGCCCAGACTTCATGACCCACGGGTGCTCAATGGACAGAGGTTCCTTTGAGCTCCAGCCAGGATCACCCATGGACACCTGGCGGCCTGGACCCTTGGGGCACTGGGGATGGTAAGCAGGTGGCAGAGGATGAGGCTGAGGGGACAGGGAGCACAGGCTGGCCTCGCAGGGGCCGGGAGGAGGCTCACCTTGCCAGAAGGAAAGAAAGATGACAGACTTGACCATGAAGAACTTGAGGACAGGGCTGTAAGGGCTGAGCAGCTCCCGGGTGGCAAAGTAGAAGAGGAAGAGGGCATAGAGGGCCAGGCTGACGGAGATGTTGTAGATGATGGTCACGTAGAGGTAGCCGCTGGTGACGCTGCGGGAACCAGGGACATTCTCGGGCTTGAACAGACCCTTCTGAGCGACAAGGGGCCTCCGTCCCCCTTGGCCCTGCCCGCATGCCCCTCTGCACAGCTCTCAGAAGGCTCCCTGGGCTGTGCTCCCCGAGGCACTGACAGAAGTGGTCAGAACACTGGGGGCAGGGCACCGGTGAGCCTTGCCACCTGCAGCTCCAGTGCCCACGCTCCTGGCATAGGGCTCCAGGCGGCCTCGGGGGCAGGGCCTCAGCCTGATGGTCTGAGGGACAGAATCTGGCTTGGCTCTTTTCACTTGAGCCACGTTCCGTTCCCTCTGAGCCTGTTTGCTCACCGACCCCTGGGGACTGTCGTGCGGGACTACAGGGGGTGTGTGTGCAAGCTCAGGGCCTAGACACATGGTCATGCTCACTAAACCCTCAAGTGGGGTGTGTGTCAATCCATGCAGAAGAGACTCGAGCCGGGGCTCTCATGGATCTGGCTCTCTCATCCCCTCCCTGGGAATGGTCACTGTCCCTTCTTGCCCCACTTCCCCCAGGGGCCCCACTCTGTGGTCTGAAGGTGACAGACGCGCCTCTGTCAGAGGCGGGGCCAAGTGTGATGGCGCCACTGCCAGGCTCCGGCCCTGAACTCAGGGGTGCAGGGAGGCGTGAGGACGGATGGGGTCAGGCTTGCCCTCCACTCGGACTACAGACACAGATGTGGGGCCAGTGTGCAGCCACCCCTCCCCTCAGCCAGAGCCTAAGCCTCTGGGCAGAGCCGCCCACTCCTCCCTACACGCACCTTGGAGCGGGGGACCCGCCACTTACTCAAAGTCACCATCCCGGTACTTGCCGAAGGCCTGGAGGACCACGGTGCTGACGGCCATGAGCGGCTTCACCACGCAGAACTGCAGGGTGGCCTGTTGGGGAGAAGGCAGGAGTCAAGGCTGAGCACACAGCCCAGGGCAGAAGCACCTCCTCTGGCCAGCTGGGCTGGTGCCAGAGGCCAGGGATGGGAGAGGCCCACTGTTCTGCCCCAGGGGAACTGCTGTCTGCAGAGAACATGAGACAGTAATAGGGCAATGCGGCTGCACACAAAGACGGGAGGGTGTGCAGGAAGAATGGAGGCGACACAGAGACAGATCCCATAGGAGAGACCACGAACATGCTAGATACGGGACGACTGGCAGAGGGGGCAGCCAGGGGCACAAGCTCAGCCCAGGGGCAGACAGCAGACAAGGGCAAGGGGTTAAGTGCTGGTGTGCGACTGGCCGTGGGGAGCAGGCCTCCCACCCTGGGTGGGTGAGGGCCTCCTCGTCCACCCCAGGTCTGGCCCTTGGCCCCATGCTCTGGGACTGGGTCTAGGATTTATGTTGAGCTGGGGTTTTACTGGCGATGGAGATGACCCCAAAATAGGAAGTAGCCCAAAGCCCAAGAAAGGCCTGGAGTCCCGACATGAGTCTGAATTCTGGCCTCATCAACTACCTGCTGCGGAAGCTCAAGGGGGCAGTCACTCAGCCTCTGAGTGGCTGTGCGTGAAGGATGGTTGTGACCAGCCCCCTGCGGCAGGGTCACTGTGCGGGGACTGAAGCACAAGGCCACACAGGCTGCCCTTGGAGGTCTCCCGCATCTGAGCACTCAGCAGAGGCCTCTGCCACCAAAAGAAGCCCTCAGCCGGGTTTCCACAAGTCCCTCCAGAGGCCCCGGTAAATGCCAAGGGGAACTGCGGTGCTCATGTAATCATGAGAAGCACCACTCTCTAGGGGCTTCCCTGGTAGTTCAGTTGGTAAAGAATCCGCCTGCAATGCGGGAGACCTGGGTTCAATCCCTGGGTCAGGAAGGTCCCCTGGAGAAGGAATAGGCTACCCACTCCAGTATTCTTGGGCTTCCCTGGTGGGTCAGTTGGTAAAGAATCAGCCTGCAATGCGGGAGACCTGGGTTCTATCGCTGGGTTAGGAAGATGCCCTGGAGAAGGGAAAGACTACCCACTTCAGTATCCTGGCCTGGAGAATTCCATGGATGGTACAGTCCACGGGCTCGCAAAGAGTTGGACACGATGGAGCGACTTTCACTTCACCACTCTCTAGAAACCCAATAAATGTCTGCCACAAGGTCCTACTTGGGGAGGTAGGATTAGCTTTGAAAGGCTAAGCTAGTGTGGTTCCAAATGGGGCAAGGCCCCAGTGCAGAGAAAGTAACCTATGGAACCCTAAGTTTCTGACCTGAAAGTGGCTCGAGTGAGGTTTGCAGGGGAGCCCGGAGTGAGCTGAGCTGCATGGCTGCCAAGAGGAGAGGCGCACATGATAGGGTTAGATGGGTGATGCCCACAAACCCCCCGGCCCCCACCCCCTCAAGGAAGCAGGACCAGCACCTTTGGGGAGAGTCAGCAGCGTGTCTCAAATAAGCGCTGGTGCTGTCCTGGCTCAGCTCACGCAGTGCTCAGGACAGCTCCATGACGTAAGTCTGTCATCACCCCCAGGGTACAGATAAGGAAACTAAGTCATGGGGAGACTGGCTGAAGTGGCAGAAGACTCAGACCCAGACGGGGGCCCTGATGACAAAGCCGCGGTGTCCTCTCTCGAAGGGGAAAGGGTGAGGGTTTCTTTAGTTCTCTTTGACGACCTGTCCCCGCCACCTCCAGGACCAGCAGCGGAACACCTGAGCCCAAAGGCTGGGGAGTAATTTCCAACAAGGCAACCAAGCTAGTGATCTAGGGTCAACACTTCGTACACAATCCTCCAAGAAGAAGGCAGAGTCACAGCTGGGCCGGCACTAGTAAACAAAGGCTCTGAGAGGCCCCACCCTGAAGCCGGGACAGTGTGAACTCTTTCCCTGCAGGTCCCGCGGGGAGGTTTTGAATTTAGAAACACCCGAGGGAAGGAAGATCTGGAAGAACTGGAGACTGGCTGTCCAAGCAGGGCTCTGTGGGCGGGGCTGTGCACAGGGCGTGGCCCCGCCCAGGAGGGAGCAGAGAGGCCCGCCTCCAGCAGGTCTGGGGATGAGCTGTGGGTTTCATTTCCCAAGATGACGCTGCACGATGCTGGATGCTGGATGGGCTGACGGGCCCTGTGGAGATGAAGCCGAGGTCCTGACAGCGGGGCACAGTGCCTGAGACCCTCCTGAGCAAGGGATGGTAGGCTCAAAGCCAGGGCTGTGTTAAGGGCTTTCCTTCATCTGTTCCTCAAACCATCCCTTGAGGTTAAGTATCATTATGCTCATTTCAGAGAAGAGGAAACCAAGGCTCAGAGAGGTTTCATAATTTAGCCAAAGTCACAAAGTCAAGAGGAGAAGCCGGAATTCAAATGCAGACGGTCAGAGACCCAGATCAGGCACTTGAGCACAACACCACTCTGCCTCCTCCCAGGCCACTGGAGACCACTGGGAGGGTGGATCTGGAAACTGGAAGCTGCTGGGCCACCTGCCAAGTGGGAAACTAGGGAAAGAACCAGAGGCTGCGCAGGTCTGTTCCATCATGTTCCTCAATGCAGAAACCCTAGCCATAGCTGATAAATTTTCACACTGAGAGTCCATGCAATTCCTCGGACTCTCACACACACACTGAGACTTGGATGAAGTGAGCAAGCGTCTGGGACCACTTCCTGCTCAGGGGCTGCATCAGACACCCTGGGGCACCTGCTAATGTTTCTCTGAGGACACCCCGCCAGTGCTTGCGCATCCCTAACAGGTCGGGGAGTGGGTGCCTCGCAGGAAATGGGAACCCCACTGGTGGGCCTGGAGCAGGGTCCTCCTGGCCTGACACCTGCCTCTGCCGCCCTGTCATCCAGGGGCAGCCTGGTCCCTGCAGCTGCCGCTCCAGGGCACAGACCCAGGCTCCTGGTCCCCGGCCTGCAACTCGTGACCAGGGCAGTTGTAGGGGGTACCCACCTGCTTGCAGAACCGCAGGAACCCGATGGAGTATGTCTTTCCCCAGAGGCAGCAGGTGCCATACATACAGCTGGACCTGGAAGAGACGAGTGGAGAAGGGCTGGTGAGCAAAGAAAGAGCCGGGACTCAGGAAAGCAGGGCGGGGCAGGCCACCCTTACTCTTCTTCACACCCTGACAAGCTGGGGTAGAGCGGGGCAGGGCGGGGATCAGGCTCGGATCCTGGGCAGTCTTTGAGCAGCCTGAGGCCAAGCACTGGGGGAGACACAGCATATGCCGCAGGAACCCTTGGGATGACAAATCAGCCTGAAAGGCATTGAATGTGAAAACTGCAAGAGGGAAAAAATAGGAAAACAGCAAAGGACAGGAAGAGAGAGAAGGAGAAAGAGCCAGGCGGGCCCTCCCCAGAGTCCCAATGAGTGACCTTGCTCAGGAGGTGCAAGAGAGGCAGAGTAGGTCAAGGTCACAGGCAGAGATGGTCTGCGTGACCAGCTGATGCCAGGACGGCTCAGAGAACGTCAGGCCCAGGAAACAGGGTGGTGTGGAGGGCTCCAGGGGACTTCATACTCACTCGATGGGCTTCCCTCTGATCTCTGACATGATGGAACTTTCCCCCCCGAGGTATTCATAGCACAGGCTCAGGAAATTATAGATGACCAAGGCTGTGAAAACAAAGTCCAGAGAAAACCACTCAGATCAACAGAACGGATAAACAGATGGTGGAATTCTAAACAGCAACGAAAGTGAATGAACCACAGTCACAGGCAGAGACTGGAGGTGGGGAAGACTGGAAGTGGGTGGGGGGGACCTCAGGAATGTAAGAACCCACAGTGGATATTCCACTTGTATAATCAAACTCAGGCCCAGCTAAACCATGCTGTTCACAGATGCTGCTTGTCATACCATAAAAGAACGCGATTACCACCAAATGCAGAATTGTGAGGGGCGAGTTGGACGGGCAGGCTGGGGGTTTGGAGAGCTGGCAGGGTGCACATCCTGGGTTTTAGCCTTATAATTGTTTACTAGTTTTATGTACTTTTCTGTTTCTGTGTTACGGATCAGTTTTATGACCAAGCAGCAATTAAACATTCTCCAGAAGGATCTCAGGAGAAATTCTCAGCAAGAATGAGACAGAAAGAACCCTTATGCATTCATCAGCATGTAGCAGCATCTTAGCCTATAGCACGGTAAGCTACAACAAAACGTATGAGAGGTGCCCAAAATACAGTGCAAATGTTTCAGGAAGCTGGGCCAGCGCGTTCTGAATCAGGACACAGCTTGACATCGCCCACAAAGATATAAAATCTGCAACAGCCACCAACAGGGGCACAGCAGAAATATGCTATGAGTGCTATCAATACAGCACTATGTTGTAATTGGTCTCCTGGTCAGAGGACTTCTGAGGGGTCAGCAAATGAAGGCTGCTGCCGGCAGGGTGCTAGAAGTACCAGGACTTGCTGGAAGCCAGGGCACAGAGAGGAGGACGCATGGAGGAAAGGTGCAGGAAGCAGACCAGGGGCCCGGGGCAGGGGAACAGGACAGGCGTCCGGCAAAGGAGTGAGGCCAAGGGGAGGGTCAAGGCGGGGTCAGGGGATAAGAAGATCTAGGAAGACACATCACAGGCCCTGCAGCCAGCAGGCCCCTTCTCATCTGACCCACCGTCCGCGTGCAGCAGAAAGGCCTTCAAGGCTCCCAGAGCAGGCCCCCGGCTCAGTTCAAGGTCTCTCAACAGGTGGCCTGGTTCCTGCTCACCCCTCACATTTCCTTCCCAGCAACACAAGGTGCTCCCTTCCCCTCAGCACGGTCTTATGCCCTTCGTGCTTCTGCCCTCAACGGTCCCACTGCCTGCGCCCTGCCCTCTGCACTCCTGGAACTGTCAACCTGTCAGACATCACCCTCCCTGAGAAGTCCCTGGCCACCACCACGGGGCCCTGTGCATCCCACATCCATGGAACCTGCTGATTTGCAGATACCAGGCAGTCGTTCCCCCCTGGAGTGTGATCACCGACTGGGATCAGCATGGGCCCAGCCCTCACCCATAGACTAACATAGACGCTTGACTGCCTGGAATTGGAGCACAGCAGATCCTGGCCATACGTCTGTAGGTAAAAGTTGGCCTTTAGCAACTTGGAAAGGGCTGTACACCCCTTAGTTGGTCTAACCTGCTACAGGTTCATGTCTGGGGCTGGGAAACAGGGGCCCAGGTGGCACCCTGTATAAACAGGACCCACAGCACCGGCCGCCTGTGCTGTGACTATCCCCTTGGAGAGACACAGCAGAGGGTTCCCAATGTGGCTCTGCTGGGTACTTCTCTGCAGCTCAGTTTTCTCATCTGTTAAATAGGGGCAAAAAGAGCCCCTATCAAGTTAGGAGGTGGTGGGGTTTCTGTGCGTATGCAAGGTGCTCAGCAGAGTGGTTGGCACTCTCAGCATCGGCAGTCACAGCTCTTTATCTGTCTGCCTTCCCTGGGGGCCCGCTGTCCCCTGACAAGGCCTAGTGCCCTGCATGTGGCGGGAATCTCCACTGACTGGCCTCCAGATCCCTTTCCACGAACAGGAACTTTGGGCATCTGAAGGCAGGAGGTGAGGAGCATCAAGCCAAATCTGATGTCAATCTACTAATATGGTTTTATCCAAAACCATATAAGGCCAAGAGGAGTGGATGTGTCTCTTCCAATCGGCCCAGCTATACTGTAGTCAATGGTATTTTTCCAAAGGCAGCCACATCCCCTGACACTGACACTCCTCTGCTGAGAGATGGGGGTTTTCTTCCCTCTTCTAGAATCTGGGTGAACCGGGGAGACCATAGCAGAAGCAAAGCTTTTTGACATCTGATGTTGTGGTTTAGAAACAGCAATTTATAAATTTTTGGCTGTGCTGGGTCTTCATTGCTGTGCACGCTTTTCTCTAGTTACGGCGAGCATGGGGGGCTATTCTCTAGTTGCGGCGCGTGGGCTTATTGCAGTGGCTTCTCTTGTTGGGGAGCATGGGCTTCAGTTGTTGCAGCACACAGGCTCTAGAGCACAGGCTCAACAGTTGTGGTGCACGGGCTCAGCTGCTCCAAGGCATGTGGGATCTTCTCAGATCAGGGATCAAACCCACGTCCTCTGCACTGGAAGACAGATCTTTACCACTGAGCCACCAGGGAAGCCCAGAAAAGGCCTCCTTGAGATGGTTGTCCTTAGACCCCGCCAACATGCCGAGAGGAAGCCCACACTGGTCCATGTGAAGAGTCCACATGAACAGGCTCACGTGGCAGGAACCCAGGCCCCCAGCTGATACCAGCATAAACTGCCAGTAACACGAGGAAACCAGACATCAGATGATCCATCCCTGAGCCTTCAGGTTCTCCAGCTCAGGCCCAGGTACCACGGAGCAGGGCCAAATTGTCCCTAGAGTGCCCTGTCCAAATTCCTGACCTGCAGAATTCATGGACAAAATAAACAGCTGTTTTACACGTGCCTGTTTTTGGGTAGTTACACACACAGCCAAGTGAGTGGAATGCACATAAAACCTCTTCTGGAATCCCCACGCCATGCCATGATCTCTCAGGCCTTCCCTTGGGGATACATTCAGGTCGTACTGCTAAATCCCAGAGGCAGACCCAGCTGCGACGCCACCTTGTCATTGGCTGGTCCCCTGTCTTATCACCATGCTGACGTCACACCCCACAATCTCTGTGGATCCACCTGCTCCTTCAGTACAAGAGGCAGCATAAAGCGGCCAGCAAGCCATGGACCCTGGAGCCAGACTGCCTGTGTGTTCCACCACTTAGGTTCCACCACTTAGGAGCTGTGTGGCAAATTTCTTCCGTGCTCTGGGCCTCGGTTTCCTCATCTCTTAAGCCGGGGCTAACAGCTCCTTCTGGGTGGGGGCTGCAGCAAGGATGGGGCTCGGGGCTGAAAGTGTGATGCCTTATCTATGAGGCTGGGCTTACAGTAAATACTGTACAATGTTACCCACTGTCTTCTGTAAGCATCTTGCAGGCAGGACCCGAGGCCCACCCTCAACAGCGATCAAAGGGCTTGGCACTTCCACACTCAATCAGCATGGAAGAAACGAATGGATGGACACAGGTCACAGCTCCAGGTGAGGCTCAGAGAGGAGGACTGTGGATGTGGCCCTCATTCAGTCCTGTGCTGGAGGTGCTCACTCTTTCACAGGCTGGGAAGCTGCACCTTCCCCAAGGTAATCTGACTTCCGGTCACCAAAGACAAAGTCCAAGGGAGAGGCCACAGGGACCCAAGGTTCCTCTGCCCCTCTGTTCAGAACCAACAAACTAGGCTATCGTGCAATCCACTTCTGGGAAGAGCTTGGTGCCTGAGCTCACATCCTTTCCTGTGTCGCAACATATGTCAGCCCGCTCCTGAATTATGTGGTCCAGTTCTCTGTCCATATGCAGCTCTGCATTCAACTGGTGAGATCACCAAACTTCATCCATCTCTCCCAATTCCAGATTTTTGACCTTTGATCAGTGCTCTGGGGCCAGACAGTCTGCAAAATCCCGATTTGCTGATGGTTTCTGTTAAAAGAATCATTAGTGAGTTGATAATGCATCTTGGAGAAAGGAAACAAGACAGAATCTCCTGGAGATGACTCAACCAGCCCACACCAAGACCCACTGACCATCTGGAAAAATCAATGCCCTTCCTAGGAAATGACAGAGCCATGCAAAATACCACCCCCACACTCCAGCATGTGTGTTTAAAATGGACAGCTCAACACACAGCCAGGGAACAAACACAGAGATAAGCTGGCCCTGAACGTCAGAAGAGCAAAAAAGATTAACAGTGGGGGTTCTCACCTGACCACGCTTCTGATCACAGCTCCCATTCTGGTTCCCTGGAGAGACCCCAGACACACAAGTGACCAGAGGGGCCACAAGGAGCATCCAGCATAAGAGAAAGAATGGGCTCTTTCTCTTTCTCTCACCCTGGACAGTCAGGTACCTGGAACTTCCATCTCCATTCTAGACACCAAATCTTAAATGAACTAGAGACAAATGCACACAATCAGAGGCAAAAGACCAGATTCAACTGCTAAGCAAACAGGGGCCACCCGAACATTCTTTCCCATTTTTCCAGTGACTGGTGATCAGCATGGACAATAATAGACACAACATGCTACAGCCAGGCGGGCAGGGTCCTCGCTCAGCACCTGCCCCCGGATTCTGAGCCACTGCGATGGTCATAGCTCCTCCTCCCTCATAGCTTTTCTGCCCTTTACTGTTCCTGCTCACTGCTGCTCCTGCCACCCGAAAAGCTGACTCCGATCCCTGTCTTCATTGGTTTCTTCTGGTTGCCTGTCTTTATCCTGATGGGTTGAGCTCTTCTGATTCCTGGCTCTCTCAGAGCCGTGACCAGCAAGGGCCACATCCTGCTGGCAGCACACCGGTCGTTGAGTCTTTGGTGGTCCTCAAGCTGTATTTGGTGATCCTCAAGCTGGTGGTCCTCAACTGTACTCTCCCCACCTGGGAAGAAGTTTCACTTTGGACCAGACTCCAGGAATCCAAGTTCATCCCAAATTGGAAACTGGGTGAAAAAAGCATCATTCTTTGTTTCTCTCGTACATGTAAAACCTTCCCTTAACACGAGTTCACACTTTCGCAGGGAAGAACCTTGTCCTGTATTCCTTCCCCAAGCTTGGCCACAGAGCAATTCCTG